ATTGATCGTAAAATAAAAATTTTACGTTGAAATGACCTTTAACCTGACGTGCTGGAATCAAACGGAGGTCAGATCCGAATTCAGCGCATCCAGAAACATAATGGAAGTTGTTTCTTAGTCTTTTTTAAGTTGCATTTTATGGTCCTGTGTAATGTTTAATTCTAGAAAATTACAGTCTTTGACGGGCCGAAAGACTAACGCGCGCGAATAGGATTTACAATGATTAATAATATTACTGAGAGAGAGAAAAAGTATTCGAAACTTTGCCACGAAAACTAACGCTGGGCGCGAATACAAAAAATAACGATCGCGATAGACAAAATACTCTCGCTCGTATTTTGTTGCGCAATATAAGGAAGGTGTACCTATCCTGCGGTGCAATTACGGTGATTAGTCGTAATTGTTGAAGAGAAATATAGAAGGTGCTCTTCTGGTACCAGCTGCTCTGCCTCGTTCGCTTCCAAATTTGCTATTGCTGCAATGCTCCCTCTGTGATGCTGCTTAAGATCACTCATGCAGGTATCGAAATTCCCGTTTCTATGGAAAACGGCGAAAAACTTTGCAAAACTAAATTGGCGGTACTTTCGCGAAAACAGCTGAGGCTTAACTGAAAACTTTAATCGTTCGCTCTAACATCGCGAGTGTACCGAATCGCTAACGGATCGATTAATCGAATCGACTACCGTTGCAACTGATATTAGTTTACTAGATAGTAGTAAGGGTAAATTAAATTAAAAAATCATTTTCTTACATATGCCGAAAGACATGTGTATAATAATGAGATGGTAACATAATACCTACTCGTCTGCCAGTTTTTACCTTTCTTGAAAGATGTGTGGGGGGTCACACTTACTCGTACATACATTTTTTTTACTCCAAAAATATTTACAATCTGTCTCATAACTGAAACAATAAGCAAATGTTATTCATATTTAACACACACACACACACACACATACACACACACACACATACACACACACATAAATTTAGCCAGTATACTTCAATGTATATTCTCAATTTATTTGATAATGGATTTAAACAGTTTAATTTAATTTATTTTATTTGCGTATTCATAAGTTTATGTTTTTGAAGTCTGGCGTTCGTAATACATATCTTGAGTAGTCTGTTGACAAGTTTGTTTGGGTGGTTTTGAAGCCTGGAGTTATATTTTGCGTAGAAATTTTTAATTTCTACTTTTACTGTAGTAATCTATAGATCGTTTCAGATAATTTCTTTCGGTACGAACCATGAGGCCCGTATTATACTATATTTCGTAAGACTTTCGATTGAAATCTTTCCAGGATTTTAATATTCGAGTTTGAAGCAGCTCCCCATAGTTGAAGACCATAAGTCCAAACTAGTTTAAGCACAACTTACAAGCATTTAAGATTTCATACATTAACATCAATAGGCTAAATAACTTCACATATTTCGTTACGCTAGAAGCCTAAAAAACAATCAATAGTTACTATATTATAGCTACTACCTTTCTTGTGATGTTCGTATCACTTATAAATAAAATAATTCGAACTCTCGTAATCTAGCTAATGAGTAAGAATTTGTTTCCAATGATTTTACTTTACTAGTCAAGAAAATAGATAAATCAATCAAATATAATAAATAAGTAAATCAAATATACATAAGTAAGTGCAATATTTCGAGGAAAATCAGACAATGCCCTAGTTTCTTATGGTGCAAATTGTCCCATAAGCAGAGCTAAAGTCTTTCTTTGATAGGATATAATTCGGCCCAAGTTTCTTATAGCACGAGATGTTCTATAAGTCGAGCTCAAATTATAAGGAAAGGATAGTCTTGCTTAGTTAATCACAATGAGAGAAAGAACTTAGGTATTAATCCAAGTTTATTCAGACTCATGCGCTCACCTTTCAAGGCTAGAAGTGAATGCTAGCCTGTGCAAAGGTGGGCCTATTTATACATAGATTTTCCCGCTTATTTTTGCAGGAGAGATTTCATCGAAAATTCGAGAGACATTCGCGAATTTTGAGAAATGATTTTTCTTAATTTCCAAGTAAATAACCATTAATATTAAGTTTTTAACACATGTAAACTTTACAGAATTAGTTATTTGTTGATTTTATACAATATGTAATTATCGCCAATAGTGTCGTCAAAAGTTATTAACTAATAAAGTTAATTAACATGATATTACAATATTTACAATAGAAAATTATTAAATTTTCATATAACTTTATAGTTGATTAATTTTGGAAGTATTCTCCAAAATTAATTATTTAAATTAATTAATAACATTTGAATTATGACTAATTTTTTATATTTGTAACGGTTTTTTCTAATCTTAATATGCAATTATTAGATTAATTATCTAAGATTTCTAAATCATAAAGTTATCATTATCAAGTATTAACTTAATATTTTCGTTCTATATATAGCTTATTGTTTAAATAAGTTATTAATTGTTTATTTATTAATAACAGTTATTATTCAGCTGTTATTAATGAAACCAATTCTTACTCATGTTCTATGCTTATTCATTTTGCATATAAATTATTTATATTTTTCTAATATTTCATATGTTAATAAATAAATCAACTTTGCATATTGATATTCATTATTAATTTATAATTGAATGAGATTTTTGTTATGATATTATGAATCTACATGTTAAAATCTACATAATCGATACTTTGTTATATTAAAATTATCTATAATTAACATATGTTTCTTAATATCATGAATCATTATATCTATGTCTATTATTTTGTGACGTCACGCTGTTTATTTTGATTCGACTCTTATTTGTATACAGTCGCGTAAACAGTGAGGTAGCGCCACTTAATGTATTGTTTTGACTAAACAGATAAATACGTTAGACTGGTTGCAGTCATTTAATAAATAGCTCATAAATAGGACCGTTACATTCTTATAGATAAAATTTTCAATCTCAACCTCGATCTTCAGGATATAAAATTCTTCCCCATGACCGTCGTGATAAATAAAGTGACGATATTAGCTTCTATGTGAGGAACTTGATTTGTTGCCGCTGAAATACAATTTGCAACACACAAGTTATTACTTTGTGTTGTTTATCGCCGTTTTTCTGCTTGTGCGCTTCAGTTGAATTTTTCAACTGACTTTTTGTCTATCTTCCAAGTTATAACAAAGTTGTGATCACAGATAACTTTAATAAAATGTTATATTTTTAATGAATGATTAATATATCACTTTAAAAGTAATATCTCCTCGTCCTATTTTTCTGACGATAAAACTATCGGTAACTTTGTCAATGCTAATGATCTTAAAATTGTTTCTGTTTCACTAACACATCATCCGACTAAAAAATATCGCATTAAACGCCACTTTATCTGTTCATCGTTTCATCTCTTCAACTTTTCATTGAAAAACATGATTACAATATACCTGAATTCTTCTAAACTGATTCTTTTTTTATCCTTAACCATGAAATTTCGCTATCACCATTAACCTCAACTTTTCTCACAATATTCAGAAAGTTATTTTATATCTTGCTTTTGTATTATTATTTGCGTGTCCGCATGCATAGCGAATTGTTTAAGGAATATTACCTTCAATAGTATGGAACCGATATAGTTAATAAGAATATTGTTAGTAAAATACAATAATAAACAAAATATAACGTTAGGCAAAGAAATTTTAGGTCTTACTACCTATCAATGCGTTGAATTAATTCCGTAAGATGAATTTATTATTTTTGTTCGGCTGATTTTGGCATTCCTTTCACTACTGATTACGCCTCAGCTTCCTTATTGACAATATTGTGAATTTCACGTGATTCTTCCTATATGCGGCAACGGTTGCACGAACGTGTCATTGACAGTCACTCACAGTCAGTACAAGTTCTATTGAACTTGTGCTCACTCAGTGAGTAGAGCTGATACCGGAAAGCTGATGACTTCCTCAACGTCATTACCAGCCTATTTCTCTCTCTCTCTCTCTATCTCTCTCTCTCTCTGTCGATCAAAGTGCACACACCAGACGCTGGTACGGTATCACCAAGCGATCACTTGTGTGAGAAATCTTATTTCAAGCCTTCTCACATAAAAATGTCTAACCGTGCAGAATTGTTACTTTCCGCAGTATCAAAAAGATACATGCGTTTGATGTGAACTTTATGAGCATAGAATCGCGAAGGCGAGAGAGAAAAAGTACTTTCTTCTCTCTTCATCAAGCGAATGCAAAGCGTACTTGAAGTATCATTCACAGCCATACACACCACACAAGGCGAGCGAGATTGACGGAGTGTTTGGACTTTTTTTTAATAATTTCATGAGAAATAGTTTTCAGAGAAGAAAATTCATTCACTTCGCTTCTTTTGTTATCAACGTGAAATTAAAAATTTTAATATTCATTAACAATAAAATTAGCATAAAAAAACTGAAAAGAAAGTTACTAGATATTAATTTAGCCTTAGTAACTTACTTTTTTATTTGAAAAAATGTAAAAATGTTATAAATGCTTTAATATTGTATCAATTCAATTATAAAAGTTTTTTTATTACATTTCTGATATTTTATATCATACAAGTTTTATGTAAGATTTTACAACAAATTTATATAAAGTCAATAAGAAAGAAATCGTATGTTTTATTATTTTAAATCTTTCACTTATATTATTCATATGGTTTTAAGATTATTTTCTAATGCTCAAGCCCTAAAACAATTTGTTCACTTTTTAGAATAACTTTTTCGTTTATAGATATATTTGGGATTCTTTATCATTATATTCTTAATATCGTTCAATATATCATTATAAGTCTACTACACATTAGATCATTAATTAATTATAATGATAAATCCTACTTTTACAGTAACATGATAAGTATATAAAAGTATTCGCTTATTCTAATTGTTGATATATTCGTTTAGAAATCATTCTATGGGTTTTCGTATAAAGGCGCTTCAAGACTGCACGACAATTATAATTTTTATTGAATTGATAGATATCAAAGAAAATTACTTATATTTGTTATTGTATTATAGGCTTACGTCGATTTAGTAAATGGATTAGGCTGGAAAGGATTTACTATAATTTACGAAAATAATGAAGGTTTGGTTCGATTACAAGAACTACTAAAAGCTCATGGCCCAATAGACTTTCCAATAACTATTAGACAACTCGGAGAAGAATCGAATATTGGTCATGGTTACAGGTAACAAACAGTACAATTATGAATTAATGCTCCCAATTGATAACAAAAAATATTTTTTTAATTTATTTCAATTTTATATTGGAATAGTCATTTTCCTCAAATAAAGGAAAATCTGTTGATTTAACAGGCGATTTGGTGATTGAAGGTATGGATTTAGGTTAAATTAAAAAAAGAATTTATATTAATTTCTGCTATACAGTTACTCTAAGAAACCTTATATTTGACCGATTAATTCTTCCTTGTTTTCCTCATATACAAACTTATTTCTACTATTTCCGTATATTATCTCTTGTGGCTCCAATTATATAACTAATTGTCTTCTGAATTCTGCCTTCTTTCTACCCACTGCCTTTCACTAACTAACTGACTGCAGGTCACAACGTCGTACGCATGAGTAGGCCGTTTGTTCTCCTCCCTTCCTGGCCTAATTTTTCGGCGGCTTGCGACGCACACTTATGATCAAGCTGTGCGTCACATGCTCGCTTATACCTGCATAGTGCATTTCTTCTTCCTTCCTTCTTCGCGCCGACTCGGCAATTCTCGACAATCTTCGAGACAATCTTTGACTAGAACAAAGGGGCCTCTCATTAGACGCATGACTATAGTGCGTCCAACGCCGGCTGCCATGCCTTGTCGAAACTAGAGGGGAGAGGGAGAGAAATAGACGAAATGCAAGCAAACCGCTTGCTCTTGTCATAAAATAACAACTTCACATCGACTTAAGCCCTTAAACTTTTACCTCTTATCTTTATTTAATTATTAAATAGACTTTAATTATTCACTAGATAATCTTGTAGTCTCAGATTTCTATAAAAAAAATAACTTTGTAATATAAAATCTATTGCCCTTATTTACAACTATGTAAGCTATCAACGTTTGGATTATCATTAAAATCATTCTTTTGTTACGAATTATTTAATTTGATATAATCACCATTAACGCTAGTTATATTTATTCAGCACGTATTTTATAATTACAACGAATGTATATGCTTTAATACATGCATAGTTCTACGAAAAAGCGATGACGATAGCGAATATCTAAGGCGAACAAGAGAAAAAAATAAGCCGACGAATGCAAGACCATGTTAACAGAGACGACGACTCAGATGAAAAGGAAGGCCGGTACATAACTGAGAAAAGTTTTTACAGTTTTCACCGATAATCTTACCATAGTGGAGAAAGTAAGCAATAGAAGAAGGTATCACGAGCTAGGAGGAGGAAAAAATCGTCGAACAGCGTGTTCGTTGAGGACTTAAGTATTCGGCACAGTCAATCGCGAAGAACGATGATTTTCCATACAAGCTATCGCCATCTGGACGCAGTTAAAATAACGTTAGTCGCAGTAAATCCTAGAAGCCTTCTTTCGTTTGATCATCGATGGCATTGTTGTTCGCAGCGACAACGTCTGCAATCAAATCTAATATTGTAGTGTATCGCAGATGACGTTTTCTGTATTGCACGCGCTGATAAATGAATTTAATCCATGGCTGCATACGATCAATGCTTTATTTTTTTCTCCTTCTCTATTGTTTTTGTTACGCGTAAGTGTTTCTTGCCTTTTGTTCTGCTTGCGGTCAAAATCTCTAGTCCATTGCGTATTTATCTGTCATTGCAGCAGGTAAAATAAATTTCGTTATTTTTATTTTTAAATCACGTTTAGTCTCAAGCTCGTTATTGATATTATCTTAATATTCATTAGAAGTAAGAATAAGTATCTGATGTTGCTCTGTTTCTTGTTTAATTTTGCGTTTTTGTGTCCGATTTCAGCCATTCAGAGGCTCATTTCAAAGTTAGCATACGCATGCAATATATTGGACTGAACCGAGCACCCAAAGAAGCATGGTATAGTAATGACCTCAATCTCTTAATGTTGTTGATAGAACATTGCACAGCCAACATAGTAGCATCAACCTCGCTGTTCCAATCAGAGCCCAGAATCCGTAAGTGCTTCATTATGATCTTGCCTCTAATTTGGATAGGACTGAACCAGTTCAGACTGACTACTACTAACAATAGTATTGTTAGTTTGTAACAATCGAGTACTGAGGTTTCTGAGATTAGGAAGGAGAGCAGAATGATTAACAGTCCACTTATTCAATATACTGTTAGAGTTTAAAATTCCGGTAAGCTGATTCCATGCATCCAGACCTGACTTCCAAGTATCCTCGTACGCAAGAGCGTCATCCACATAAGTGATTTCTTCGAGAATAGTAGTATCCCGCTGAAAGTCAGCTCATTAATCAATAACTAGTTCGGATGGTCTCATATAGAAGACAGGTGGTACCGTAGCTAATCATCGCAATAGTGCTAGTTGGCTTTATCAGGTACATTCTATCATAAAATCTACAGACAATTAGCATTATATGAATAGATGCGGCTTTGTCGGAAAAATTTTGTAATGTCCGTTAAACAACAATACGATAAAATCATTAACGAGTCAGGATGATGGTGATGTCCATTTGCCATTTAGACCCTGGATGCGAACAGTCGTTAAGAAAGTTACCACTAGCTACTACCTTGGTGGTATTGAAAATGCCTAATCTTTCTTTAACATAAGTTTTGAAAATAACGTCGTGACAAATGTAATGGTATAGAGCCGAGTCCACATTCAAATTCGGAATCTATTCCATATACTAAAGATCCTTATACGAAAGATATGCTTTCGTTATTCTCTGTCGTACGGGTCTGGACTCAGGTCAACATCACTAATCCATCGCCCATCGCTAGAGCCGGATGTTTCGCATTTACGGTAGCTCTCAGTACCAGATTCATTGCTTGCTTGCATTTGGTGCTTCCTTTTTCGCAGTGTACATTAACATTTTGCGCATGTTGGTTCTATTTAAATATTGAGCGAATAATGGCTATATCTAGCAAGTTCTGAAATTACGACATGTATTTCATCCATTTTTGTTGAAAATTTTCTACTTCAGTTTCTAAAATCGATTAATTTCCATAATTTCTAAGAGCGAGACTGATAAACATCGTACGATTTATGGCCGTATTGAGCGTAAAAGTCAGATCAAAATTTTTTTCGTCCTAGCTCCTCTGATATTTTTACAGGCATAACTTCATTATGATCTTCAAAGTCCTGTTACATTGTTGTACCTTGTATCGCTGGCATATTTAGTAAACTCGTGTATATTATATAACATCCTTCGCAAGATCAGACCAGAAATAGAATCGACGTCCTCGGACGAGATTCGTCTAGCGCCCTAAAAGTCCAGCGATGGTGGCATTGTCATATTAAGCTAAAGCTTTGGGCTTTCTCTCCAATGGCACGACCAGCTGTCAAATCTCGTTGTCTTTTAGCAGTATAGACAAGTCTCATTGAGAGAAAGTTTTACAAATTACTGCCCATAATCTTCGACGAGGGATGAGCACCGGGGTCGTTTCACGCTTCCTGCACTTCCACCAAGAACTATATTTATCTTTGATCTCCTTGGTCCAAATAATTGCAATGATAAATAGCTAATTATCTTCATACTTCAATGATAAGGCATCACGTACAACGTGGAAAGTTCCCTTGCTGTGCTCGTCATCAAAAGAATACGCATGAAGCCGGTATACTTACCTTTCTAATCGACTAGTCGGGTTCTTTATTTTAGGCAATTATTTCAGGAAACTGAAATCCGTAGTAATATTGAAACGATATCCCCCGATATACAGACAAAATTTCTTGATGGTGTCAACTACGCCCAAATATTCACGCTCAGATACTGAATAGTTGCACTTCGATTTACTACGTTGATTTGATAGACAAACTCAAGAAAATGTCCTTCGCTATCCATGAGATATGTCAATACGGCAACAATGCCGATGTCGCTTGTTTCTGTATAAAGAATTAAGTCTTAATTGAGTTTTGGTAGTTAAAGTGTCAAAGCTAAGGTTATGACATTTGATCTCACTATATGCGCTTTTCACGTCTAGAACAATTGTTCGTCAATTTTTCTTCGGATAAGACCGATTTTCCACTATGAAATGCGCACCATATATTAAAGATGTACGCTCCTTTTGTCAATTTTTCTTTTCTTTTAGAAAAATCCTGTATTCCATGTACATTGCAACACATGTACACGCTAATCTCTCCAATTCTCCAGTTTGGTTAATTTGGGGAAAACTCAAGTATTCTTTTGTTTACCATTACGCAGGCCTGATCTATAAAATAGGGAAGGGACTCGGTACATAGTTAGACGTAGTCTACGGCGTCTACGCGGACTTCGTAGCTAGACATCATTCCACATCGTTAATTAGACACTTATCGAGGGTTCAAAGGAGAAGGTAATTTTCTCCGTTTTTTCTGCTGACACTCCGATTTTCTTTTTTTTCTCAAATAGCCATTTTTGGAAAACTTGTATTTGCAAGTATTATATTTAAGCATTATTATAATTATTATTATTATTATATTTAAGTATTATATTTAAATATTCTTTGTATTAGTCTCATAAGAGAACCCGATATGATCCGATCGGCACTTACTAACTTCTGCATTTTATCATTGACGATCTTTGCTTCATCTGCGCCACGCTAGTTTTTATAAATTGTGAAGTGCGTCTTAAATTATGATTGAATGCATCGAAATTAGAAATGGTATATCCATGGCACTGTAAAGATGAGCATTGACATTATAAGTAAATGAGTTTTCATACTCAGCATTTGATATTACGCCAAGCTTAAGTCAAGTGTGCATATATATTTGATGTTAGGCAACTGTTGCAATATATATTTTTTATGAAAGATGGTAGATACACATCCGACTTACTTTTCTAAAATCGATGCAAAAGCGGTATTTATCCCTCCCTTAAGTACCATTACAACAGGGTTCAACCACCCGCTCTTCGAGGATTCAATCACGCGGCCTGTGGGAAGAAATGAAAAAAATAGTGTCTGAAACAAATATGTTAAGAACGAAGCTACAGAAAAATATAAAAGCAAGTGTGTTCGAAAGCTAAGGTGATACAGAATTGAGAAAAATTATCCCAATAACAAAATTTCTAACTA